AAAAAACTCACAATGTGCAGGCCCCATCGTATATTAAAAAAAAAGTGCGGGACCCACATGTCTGAGTATTCTGGTGAAATTTTGTGGGTTTGGCTTCAGTACATGAAGCAAAGTTCATTATGACTTTTGATGGAGTTGAACCACTAATCTTGACTTCTTGTTCTTGTATTATGTATTATCTATAATGCAAATAAGAAAAGAAAAAAGAATACATCTCGAGTTTTGATTGTTTATACATATAAATTACAATCAATAAAATGCTCAATTTAACTCGAATTAAAAGGGCTAAAGAGTTGGCTCCAATCAGCTCAAACGAATGTAATCTTGAACAAGTAAAATTCAATTTTTACTACTAAAAACGGTGTACTAGGGAAGATTTAAAAAAATAAAATAAATAAATAAATTCCGAACACTTCTTGGAGAGCAAAAGCTCTTTTGATTAAAATAATGGATGTTTCTTTTAAGTAAAACACAAATATTTGTTGACCAAACAAAAATTCTTTCAAAACTGTTTTGGAGAAATTCGATTTTTGATTGAAAAAATCTCACATGCGGCTTAGACTGAAAGCTGAAATTTGTTTTCAACGAAACTTTTAAAACTAACAATATTTCTACGATAGATTCATGGGCATGGAAATCTATTTTTATCAAAGTCAAAGTTAATAATTAATTTTAACTATATATTTTATGAGATTCATCACATTTCAATCACAGAGGACATTAATTTTTATCAAAATATTTTAAAAATCAAATTTTAATCTTCGCCAAACAGAAGTTAACAGTCATGAAATCTGAAGCCCAGCCTGATCCCTTCCCCCTTTTGTTCGATCTTAATATGGGATGGAATTGAGATTACGTTAATTACATTACTACAAATGAAAAAATATATAACTATAAAGGTTTCCGGATATGTTTTCCAAAAAAAAAATGTGGAAAAGTTTCAAAAATCATGTAGTCATATTTAATAATAATTTTGTGACTTATTAATTAATTAAATAGGTCAAAGTCATAATAACACACCATTTTTTTTGTCACAGTTACACATCGTCACAAATTGCACAAGGTCACAGTCACATAAACAATTTTTGAGTCATTAATTATAAGTTTAATTGCAAATCACATATTTTTTAGGTTACATATTATCTATGATCCCAAATTACCCAAAGAATTGTCATAAACGTTTTTGATCCCACTCGACTACTCCACTACCACTCCACCACTATCAACACTGCCCAAACGTCGTTGCCACATCACCATAGTCATCGTCGTTGCCACTGTCGCACCATCTCCACCATTACTACCACCGTACCACCACCATGACAACATCCACCGCACTACCATCATGCTAGTTTGTACATCGTAACCCACCGCCACACAATCATCAGTGCACCACAACATCTACCGTACCACCACCAAGGCAAATTCGACTAGTGGTGAAGATCTTATTCGACTTTCTTCAATGTCACCATTTGAACGGGCTATTTCATCCTCTCCGACAAGCAATAACAACATGATATCTTCCTCGACCGCCTCTTCATTAATAGAGTTCAAATGAGTTATCATATTCTTTATTAATTTTTCTATTGTTGATCTCAAAAAGTCCCCTCAAACGATTTTATTTAAAACCGTATATGGAAAAACAAACATAAAAAAGTAACCTCGTCTATATGTGAGATATAAAATTTAAATAAGTAATTTAGTGATTTAGTGTTGAGGAATTTAGATAAGAATTTTTCTTCAAATTTGTAAAGACACGCAACTAAACGATTTAATTATATTATCCTACACATGCATTGACCCTTGTATAATTTATCTAAAGCAAGCAGCTTACCGTCTTAATCAATAATATATTTTGCTAATTATAATTTAAAATCCCTTATATGGTACTTGGATGATCTAATAATATTGTAATCTAGTGGGGTTCAATTAATTGTCAATATTTCTTTTTTTTTTTTTATCTTGGACATAAAGATTATATATTTACTTCTTTGTTATATAAGAAATTAAGAATTAAGGGTGTGTTTGAGCCATATTATTTTGGAAGAATGTATTTTGAAATAGTAGATTGATGAAGAATGTGTAGTTGAAAATAAAGGAAAAGTTATTGATGTGATGAAAAATATTATTTTATTGAAGAATGTGTGGTTGAAAATAGTAGAAGAATGAGAATGAAAATTTTAATGTGTACCAAACATGTGCTAAGAAAGTTGGTGTTATGACTTTCAGCTTTCCCCCATGTACAAAAAACTTCCCACAGAATTTCACTAGAAAACTCACAATGTGTAGGTCCCACCGTGCATTAAAAAAATGTGCGGGACCCACACGTGTGAGTATTCTGGTGAAATTCTATGGGTTTGGCTTCTGTACATGAAGCAATGTTCACTATGACTTTTGATGGAGTTGAACCACTAATCTTGACTTCTTGTTTCAAAATGCTTGTATTTTGTATTGTCTATAATGCAAATAAGAAAAGAAAAAAGAATATATCTCGAGTTTTGATCGTTTATACATATAAATTACAATCAATATAATGCTCAATTTAACTCGAATTAAACGAGCAACAGAGTTGGTTCCAATCAGTTCAAACATATATCGAGTATAACCTTGAACAAGAAAAATTCAGTTTTAAAGTGAATTATCATTACCTAAATTTCTGATACTTTGATTCTGACAAATTAATTTAAAGTGATTTTTAAAGTTTCTTTTCTTCTCTCACTTTCCGGATTAGGTACAAACAGTGAAATACATTCTTTGAATAATCAAATGATCAGTTACAAATCAAATGCATGTAGTTCATATAGCGAATTAATTAATTAAATTAAGCCAGATTAGGTCAAAAGTTTGAAATCTAACATGTTCAATTAATATTTCATTAAATTAGAGCGACTTACTTTTCGGCCGCGTACTCTCTCTACATCTATTACTCACCATAGACACCGAGAATGAATTTACTAACACTTTGCGCTATGAAAGAAAAGTTAATGTTGTGTTATAATACGTTCTTGTTTTGTGTAGCTAAAACAAATATCGATAAAAGTTGATGAAATGTATAGTTATAAAGTTGTGGGTCCCATAAAATGGGTGTAAAATTCAATTTTTGATTTTGACTTACATTTTTATCAAGTTCTTAAGTTACCATAAAACACATCCAAGGATTATATGAAGTTTTCCATATCAATCACTATATAATTCTACAGTAGAACCCTAAATCTGTTACGTTGAGATTGAATTTACGAACACTTTGTATAGCGCGAGATAGGCTAGTGTTGTGTTAAATTATACGACCATGTTTAATACCGCGTCTATGATAGACTTATATATGGTATAACAAGTAAATTCATATCCATTAAAACCTTAAATCCAACACCAAATCCACTATGTTGTCTAATGGACTCCGAAAATGAATTTACAAACATTTTTACCGTGTAGGATAGATTAATGTTGTGTTATATTATTCAATCATGTCTAACGTCGTATAAATTTTGTTTAATCTTCTATCATCAATCAAGACACTTTATGGTACATAATAAGTAAATTCTCTTATATCCATTAGAACCTAGTATTTACTACATCTGAGAGAACTCGAGAATGAATTTACGAACTTACCAGTATTTTACGAAATTCCGTTTATTTAAACACACCATTTCGTATTTTACAAGAATTTTCTTTATTAAGTATTACTTGAGTGCATAGTATGAATACTACTAATACCAATTCAAACTTCAAAATTCAACTAATCAACCGACTTTAATGTTGATAAATGTACATTAATTAAATAATTATACACCTTAATTAGGATTAGGATAAAAAATCAACCAATGGTGCGTGCACAAAAAAAAAATAAACAATATTTCCTGCGTATCATATCATGCCACGTGTTGCTCCCCTGTCGTGGATCATGTCGGAACCAATGAAACATGGCCCACGCCGAAACCTTAGCCAAAAAATTAAACCGCAATAGTCAAATAATTGGTGTTTGTTTAGCAAAAAGTTAGGTAGGGTTTTTTCCGTATACTCAATCATTAACCAATTAGAATTAGCCAGTGGTGCTCCTCCGCCTTCATTGGTGGCGCTGTCAATTTCCTCCGCCTCCTTGGATCCAACGTGTTGGATTTAGTTGTTGACAAACTGGTTCAATTATCTAACTGAAGAGAGAATAAAACCAAAGTATGAAAACTTCTCAATATAGCTAAAGGTGACAAGTTTCTTATCTAAATCAGTTAGTTTATTTCCGCAAGTTAACTTTATGTAACTATCAACTTGATTAAGATAATATTCTAGATTATTTTTATAATCACTTCAAGGCATTTATCGATGTCTAAATTTAAAAAGACTAGATTAATTATTCGATTCGTCTAAATCTTACACATCAATCGTATTTTAAAATTGAAGTGAGTTACCATCTTGTAGCATATGTTAGACACAATTCTAAGCGTGTATCTGGCACACATAAAAGCATTTTCCACACAGTGCTTCTGATTTTGCTTTTACTTTTTGAAAAATAGATTCTCGAGAAAGCTATATAAATTTAATTTTCTAGAAAAGCTCTTTTAAGCAAATAGAGTGCTTACAAAAAAATATTCAAATAGATTCAAAAATAACTTCAGAAGCGCCATTTGACTCTTCAAAAACCTTGTCAAATGAACCATGAGATACTTTAATAGAGGCATCGATGGATCTATAGAATTCCAAACATAATTCTAGAAGATCACAAAGATATTATGACAATCGAAATACGTGTTTAATTAGGCAGATTGGACGGTACTAGATAGATCATATAATCAACTATCTAATACTATGTGCTAAGCACGTGGCTAGAGAGTTCTTTACATCCACCACATCTTTGGGAATCTCTATTTATTGAGTTACATTTCTCCAAACACATTTTTTCTTTTCAAGATAACTCTCCCTCTCTCTCATCTGAACTTTGTGCAAACATTCGATCCATCTCATCTTATAAAAGTTCGCCATTTTTAAGAGAAACGAATTGAAAGAAGGAAATGGCCTTTGGTTTTAACTCAGTAGACGGGCATGTCGATTTGCTTCCAGGTTTTCGATTTCATCCGACAGATGAAGAACTTATAACTCATTATCTGTCTCCTAAAGTAGTCGATAGCAGCTTTTGCGCCACAGCCATTGGAGAAGTGGACTTGAATAAGGTTGAACCTTGGGATTTGCCATGTAAGTTAATAAGCTTTCAGCTGCTTCTTTTTTTCGTTTTTAGTGCTATATTAGTATTAATTCTGATGTATTGTTTATTTGATTATAAAGGGAAGGCAAAAATGGGTGAAAAAGAATGGTATTTCTTCTGTGTAAGAGATAGAAAGTACCCAACTGGATTGAGGACGAACAGAGCCACTGAAGCAGGTTATTGGAAGGCTACCGGCAAAGATAAGGAGATTTTCAGGGTAAAAATCCTAGTCGGAATGAAGAAAACTCTCGTATTTTACAGAGGAAGAGCTCCCAGAGGAGAAAAGACTAATTGGGTCATGCACGAATACAGATTAGAAGGCGATAATTGTATGCATAATCTCTCCACAAGTTTCAAGGTAAAAGAACTATCCCCTGTTTTTCTCTGTTGGTGATTTCGTCTAAAAGCTTTTTATTCTTGCAGAAAGAATGGGTGATCTGCAGAGTTTTTAAGAAGAGTTTAGGAGGTAAGAAAATACACATCTTAGGAATAATCAAAGACAGAAATTCTGGGGAAAATTCAGAGTCCTCAGATTTGCCTCCATTAATGGAATTATCATCAGATGATAATCAGACAGGATCTACACTGGCAGAGGATTCACATGTGCCCTGCTTCTCCAATCAACTGGAGGATCCGAAACCTCAAAACGAAATGATTGATGAATTTAATAATTCTGCTTCGTTAATTTCCCAGAATAGAGAAAATCTGGCCTATTTGGATTCTGATTTGATGATGCAAGATCACTCCATGTTGAGGCTTTTGCTAGAGGGAAACGTAAAGCAAAATGGCAAACCCGATTTTTTACAGGATACGGGTATGGGTTCTTCCATGTTTGGCTATGGAATGAGGGCTTATGAGGATCAAGATTTTTCAGTTATTTCTGCTGGGCCAGTGGACCTTGATTGCCTATGGAATTATCCTATTTGATGATGATGATGAACTGCAATAAAAAAGTTAGAATCAGCAGCAGATTGGAACAAGAGTAGGGTATAATGCTACATTAAGAAAATATGTAGGAAAAATTATAAAAAAAATCCAAAAAAATCCTGTACTTTATTGAAATATGAGTGTTTTCTCATTAGAAACTTTTTTATATGAAATTATTTTTGTTGTTTGGATTTATATTTTAAAGTAATTATTCACACTAAATAAGGTACAAGACTTATTTTACCGTCATCTGCTTGTTTAGTGACGTTAACGTCCTAGAAGTCAATGATAACTGATGTTTAATAGATTACAGATAAGCAAAACGAGTGACCTTCATTTGTATTTAAGAACCTGTTTGGAGTGTATCAAATACGTAAAAGCAATATGAATCATTGAAAACAATTGTTTGTTAGTAAAAGCCCAATTGAATTTTCAGGCGATAAAGAGACTAGACTAGTCATGGTTCGAGGCAACCTTTTATAAATTTCAAGTCTTGACACGAAAGTTATTGCATAAGAGTATTCGAGTCAGGTAACTAAAGAATTATCTAGCTGATATTGACCTCATCCTAGTTTAACGTCAATTTAGAAGTTTGAATACACAAAGTATATGACATTTATCTTACATTTAAGAATTTATTAGAAGTGTATCGGATACGTAAAAACAATATAACTCGATGATGAAAATCAAAGAATACCTACAAGTTGGTACAACCCTACTATAAATTTAGTCAATGAAGTTACAAGACTAGAAGGTTTTGAGGCAATTATGAGCTAAATTTTTTTCTATAAATATCAAGTGATTATTCCATCTAAATAAAGAAATTACCACATAAGAGTAGTCGAGTATATACATTCATCTACAAAATTTGACGTATGCAAGTCCATTCTATCAATCGATTCCCTCTAATGTAGTGTTAGATCGAAACTTGTGTAAATCAATTAAAATTAAAAATACTTGATTTAATCATACAATCTTGATATTCTTCAAGAAATATTTCCAAAGTGAAATTCAATTAAAAAAAATTAAATATTGGTAAGATAAGAGCTGCTGTTGGGCTGGCATTTGCCGGGCCCCACCAGGCATAGACCTTTTCCAATTCGATTACAAAGAGGTTTTCACGTCATCATGGACACTTCTTCTGTCCGACTCCACCCGATTGTTTCTGTATTATTTTATTCGATACCAAACATACTCTATTTAACTAGAATTTTAACTATGTTCGATCTTAATTGGACAACACTAAAAGGACTTTAACAAAGAAAAAGAAGACAAAATCTTGTTCCCAGGGACGGATTTAGGGGGGGCTGTAGCCCCCCCTCCCCCCAAAAAAAAAAATTTTTTGGTTAGAAAAAAAAAAAAAAATAAGAGTAGTCGAGTATATACATTATCTACAAAATTTGACGTATGCAAGTCATTCTATCAATCGATTCCCTCTAATGTAGTGTTAGATCGAAACTTGTGTAAATCAATTAAAATTAAATCACTTGATTTAATCATACAATCTTCATATTCTTCAAGAAATATTTCCAAAGTGAAATTCAATTAAAAAAAATTAAATGTTGGTAAGATAGAGCTGCTGTTGGGCTGGCATTTGTCGGGCCCCACCAGGCATAGACCTTTTCCAATTCGATTACAAAGAGGTTTTCACGTCATCATGGACACTTCTTCTGTCCGACTCCACCCGATTGCTTCTGTATTATTTTATTCGATACCAAACATACTCTATTTAACTAGAATTTTAACTATGTTCGATCTTAATTGGACAACACTAAAAGGACTTTAACAAAGAAAAAGAAGACAAAATCTTGTTCCCATGTTTAAGCGTGTAAATTCGAGTGTTCAATTTTCAAGATCTCGACGTCAAATGTCAATTTTCCGCGTTAAAATTAATGTATACGTAGTCAAACGAATATTATGGAAGAGTCAAGAATACGTTCTTTTATTTATGCTTTTTGTAGAAAAACTTTCTGAGAAAATTGCGGTACTCCTGTTTTTTCTAAAAAATCTTCTATTCAGGTAAAATAATTTTAGAAAATTATCCAAACAGGTTCAAAAGCAACTTCTTAATCTTAAAAGTAATTTTTTATTTTTCAAAACTTAATATGAATCCAACTTGAATAAATTAAGTTTTCGAGTTCTCAAGCATCCCTTTCACACGCGAGGGTTCATTCATGCAAATATGCAATGAACTGACTTCATAAATCAACTTCCGGACCAGAAATAAGGTATATAATTAAATGACTGCCCGAAAATGACGTGGTGTCACTTTAATAACCAATGGGTGGCAACAGTGGCATCTAAGCAAGAAAGTTGGCAACTGCGAAAGAGGGGATGGGGTGGTATGGGAAGTAGGGATTAGCTCACCTAACTATAATTTTCTATTCTTGAGGCTTTTCAAACTCTTGAATAGTCTTGTTTAAGGTTAGGAATTTATATATATATATATACTTGTATATATCAACAAAAAGAAAAAAAATAAAATAAAATTTAGCAAGTGCAAACATGTTAAGCTTGTTCAAATCTATGTTTTGAATGCTAGACGAAAAAATTGTCTAAATGTAACAAAATTCGGAATTTTATCTTAAAATATCAACCTCATTAAAATGAGTAATTCAAACATTCGGCTCAACAAATGGACGGTTCGGACTCGTTTTGAGACAAGCTGTGCCGAACCCAATATTTTTTCGATCCTACTTGTTTGGGCTCGTTTTTGGCCTACTTCATTAATGTTTCTTAAAAAATAATAATAATAAATAATTGCTTGTTTTTGGACTTCCGTTTTTTATTTTTTATAGAAAAAGTGAGCCGCTCATGGACGGCTCAGCTCGTGAAGCCCCGGGCAAAGGATCGAGCCAATCCTAGAATTTGAATACGAGCTGAACGGCCCGGAAAACTTCAATCCTCTCATACAGGCCGAGTCCTAGAAGGAAAACTAAGCGTTAGTTGGATTGAAAAATGGGAAACATTTCTCCATTTTTAGCTTGGGCAATTGAACACAACTAACACTGAACTGAGGCACTTAACGAATTAGTACTAATTCCTTTTATTCATATAATCGGTGGTTACAATTACATCACAGCTCAAAAGTGTTGTGAATCAAATAGAGTTTCATTTTGAGTTTTCACCCTAACTCTTAAGAGAATCAATCATTCATCACCCAAATTGAACATTCTTTGAATATTGGTTCGATTCAGTTATTCGACCCTTTTTCTTTGAAATATTTTGAGTGTGTACAATTTACTAAATCAAACGAGTAATTTGACATCTCATCAGGAAATTAATCTTTAACATGCTCATAAATCAAATATCATCAATATTTAGTTTCACGTTTAAAGCATTTTGGCTTTGTTTATGTAGAGAAATCGACTTTCGAATTGTTGAATCCGGGCTCAGTTTAACTTACCAATATCAAACACAATCAAACAATTAATCCAACCCACAACTACTACTATAATTCTTTGGTTGCCACTTCTAATATACCCACAACCACACAAGATGGTGGTGTTTGCAAAAGGAGCCACAATTGCCACTTCTAATATACCCACAAGGAACACAAGATGATGGTATTTGCAAAAAGGGGCCACAAAGGCAGAGAGAAGACAATGCACGAAGGAGGAGAAGGAAGCAGCCACAGTTTCTCTCTTCAACATTCACAAAGCACACATGTTCCTAACACAAGGAGAAAATGGGTATATATATGTTAGTTTAGGTTATCAAGATTTGGGCCAATATCATTCAACAAATGGGTCAAAATTAAGATAATTGAGCCAGCACATTAAGAAGACCATCCTTAAGTTATAGTGGTCATGAGCAACACTAATTAATTAAGTTGCTTTCAATGACCCCAGTTGTTTTCAAATTGAGCCTATAAAATGATTATGTTGATAGTTATTTCACTCATCGACCAAAGCCTACGAAATATAATCCAAACTGTTTTAACGTTATTGCTCGGGATTTATTGAATATTAAAATCCAAAAAATATCACCTTGATACCCAATTAATCTACAAGCAATCAAAAAACACAAAGCTAAAGCTTGGATAATTAAGGTAACCAATAAAATTGGAATCACATGCCTTACCTCGTGTTTTGGACTCAAAACATATATCATACATGCTCCATGTACTCGCTAAGGTCAAGAACAAATACCCAAATAGAAAAAGATAATCACAGTAATCAATCAAAAGTAAATAAATATGCGATGGAGATATCATATAGGATAACACAGATCTTTTCGAAAAGACATGTTCACACAGAATAACAAATTAACTCAAAGTTAATTAAACACACGGTCAACACATATGCAACAAATGTATAAATGATCCCACGAAAATATCTCACCACACTTATCATATCACATTCTGTGTTGATCACACATCAAAAACACATATCTCACCTCATCGCCCACCATACTCAATATACTAATCGCTCAACCCATGTCTAACTGATAGACTTTTATTAATCCTAAGTCACTGGAATAATCCCCTATCACCACATGACTTCTACTAACCTAAGTGGATAATGGGTCTCCACTTAACAGAAGTGATAGAAATGCATCTTTTACACTCCACCTATATAGGGTCTCTACACATATAAAGGATTCCAACATTTGATCATATCTCCACTCGTGATCCAATGTTACACTCCACGCCACGGTACAAACCACCAACATACCCTAGACATCTATACTCAATCTCACCAATAGACATACAACATACTGGTAATGCATCTTAACCCACATGCATGTAAACAAATTACACAAAGTAATTAAATTGCTCTCAAATTTATACAAATGCACATACCAAATACATTGAAACACATATATAACCATGCAACAGAAGTAAGCAATCACACACATCCGAAAGGATTACACAAAGATGCACATGCAATAACTAAGTTTACTCTCAATAAATCTCACTAGGGTCATCAATTGACCTTATAACCACATTCGCATCGTCTTTCATCTTATCATTCTGCTTATCTTTCTTCTTGGGACAGTCCCTAATAAATTGCACAACCTTATCATAACTATAACACCGTCTACCACTAGACTGTCACATCTCTTTCCCTTCTTATTATCATCTTCATCACTCGAGTCACTACTCAAATCACCATTGTCTTGAGCTCTACCCAAATTCATATGCTTAAACTTCATTCTATTCATCATCATATACAACTCACCACTTCTCTTATTCTCTTTTCAGCCTTAATCTGTATCTCCTTACTCCTAAGGGAATATATAATAATCTCTAGTGTTAAAGTATCTCTACCATACTTAATTGCATTCTTAACCTCTCTATATGAATCAGGCATAGAATTAAGCAAAATAATGACCTTATACGTTTCAGACACTTTTTCATCACAATTAACGATATCTTGAACAAGTTTGTTAAAAATATTCAAATTGTCAACAAGATCATTTGAAAGATCCATTTTAATACTAAAAAAATCTTTTAAGTAAGTACAACTTATTAGGAGTAAATTTAAGCAAAAATAAGTCATCCAACTTTTGCCAAAATTCTTTTGTAGAATCAAGTTATTTAATTTTTCTCAAAAAAGTGTCAGATAGGTGTAAAATAATTGAAGTCTAAGCAAGTTCATAATATTCCTCTTTTTGTACTTCTATCAATTTTGCAGAAAATTTGCAGTCTATATCTTTTGAAATCTTTTGTTGAACTAAAATTCTCTTTATTTTTTGTTGCGAATTGAAAATTTTCATTTCCCATTGAAAATTCTAACTTAAAAATGTGAAAACATTTTGAAAAATAGAACAACCAAAATGCATAAATATGTCACACAAAGTAATCATAAGACAACAATATACATCGTTCTAGATTCTCAGGATGTCGTGAGACTCAAGATCTCAGATCAAATGAATGTTCAAATGGGGTTAAGTCTAGGTGTTCTAACTGAATAATCAAATGCAACACGAATGTATGTCAACAAAAAATTCAAATTCGCACTTAATACAAACAATTGAACACAGAAGTAATTATCAACTTGTAGTTAAATCCAACAATTCAAATATAGCAAATAATTCCTAAATTTCAAGCACAAGCAATAGTTACCCCACACGGTAACCCCAATCCTATTGTCACCGCACACGATGACGCGCTAATGCAGAAATTTAAATTTGGGATAAGCCAATATACTATGGACCAATTTGAGTCTGTAAATAACGAGAGATACGAATTTACCACTTTAGGGCCACCACTATTTGCCCTAAAGTTTTCAGGAATTATAACAACCAATCAAGTAAGAGTCAAATCCCAAACACGCAATGGAAAAATTGTCCAAATCTCACCGTAGCACTCAAAACTGAAAACGAACACCAGCATAGGGTCCGTCTTGTCGTTTGAAGGAAACTGTTTGAAGAAAGCATCACCGAGGAATCACTCACGCGACTTTACGAGCGGTCCCTGGAGTTCCACCTGTCGACGCCCAGCCATTGCTAATCACGCGCCACCTATCCAGGTGCGCCTTAGTCTGCTAAATACGCTGGTGGTCTCCGTTCGCCTAACATGTAAGTGGTTTGGGCAAAAAAACAACAAAACAAATCTGGCAGCTTTGATTTTCAATTGGACAGTTTGTTTCAGTTGGTTCCTACTTCGTTTTTGGGCGTTTTCAGGTCGAATTTTTGCTAAAAATCCACCACCAGCCTTGCTTTGACTCCAATTGTAGAGAAATCGACCTTCGATTTGGTGAATCCGAGCTCAATTCAACTTGCCAATATCAAACACAATCAAACAATTACTCCAACCCACAACTACTACTATAACTCTTTGGTTGCCACTTCTAATCTACCACAAGGAACACAAGATGATGATATTTGCAAAAAGAGACCACAAAGGCAGAGAGAAGACAAGGCACAAAGGAGGAGAAGCAAGCAGCCACCGTTTCTCTCTTCGACATTCACAAAGCACACACGTTTCCAACACAAGGAGAAAATGGGTATATATAGGTTAGTTTAGGTTATCAAAACTTGTGCCAATATCATCCAACAAATGGGTCAAAAGATAATTGGGCCAGCACAATAAAAGGAACATCCAGAGTTATAGTGGCTATGAGCAATATTAACTAAAGTTGCTTCCAATAACCAGAGTTGTTTTCAGATTGAGCCTATAAAATGATTGTGTTGATGTTATTTCACTCATTGGCCAAGGTTTATGAAATATAATTCAAATTGATTAACATCATTATCCGAAATTTATTGGATATCAAAATCCAGTCATTTAATTTTCATTTTACTTTAGGACGTAACAATGAATCTACACCCAAAGGTTAACACGCTATAAAGTAGATGTGACACAGTCCCAGGGCACATCTCCAAGTGGTAAAAGGGGAAGGTGGAAAAACTCCTACTTTACTTGAAGCTGTCGCGTCAAGGGTTCGAATCTTGAAATATGAATTTAACCATTGGGTAAGTGCAAGTGTACAAGTACCCTTTCACCATGTACCCTTGGAGGTATAACCTACAATTTACCTCTTTCACCAAAACCCAGCATATGGCGTGGGGGCCGTCAAAGATGCGTCTCATCTTTTTTTTATAAAGTAGATGTGACACAAATAAATATTTCTCTTTAGCATTTACATTCAATATTGGCTTATTTAACACCAACATATTCAGACTTAAATAAATAACCCACGTGGGCAATACTCTGACAAATCTTTTCTGTATTTATTAAATGTGGGAACTGGGAATTTAAGACCATGTTGGACCATGCGAAGGGCAGTCGACATAAGGATGGAGCCTCTCAATAAATCGTTGGGCTTGAGCTAAATGCTTCATCCTCTTCCAAACTCCAAAGGCATACTAATTTGTCTGCTAGCGTCTCGTTTGTGGGCCCAATTGTGTGATTTCTCCCACCGTTCACATTTAGATAGGGGTGTTACTAGCAAGCCTAACAACGATATTTTCATGCAAATCGCGTTAGTTCGTAATTCAACTCATCATAATGAGTAAAATACATAATTTAGGTGAAAATAGATTGTATGGCTCGTGAGTGATCTATTAGGTTTGTCTCATCAAAGGGCGAGCTCCTGGAGCGAGCCAAGCCAAACTTTGGTCAAGCTAGCAACTCACTAGCTGGCTTAGCTGATCATATCTTGATTCATCCTATCTAATCCCTCTATATTTATATATTCACACCGCACTGCATTTTCATTGCAAAGAACATTCGAAAATCTTTCTTTATTTGTTATTTTGATGTATTGAAGTTTTTTTTTTTCAAATTTTGTATCTAATGATGATTATATTTATGTCCAAAAAAAGTAATTAGAAAGACATAAGAAAACTTATTTTTCCCTCATATTTTCAATTAAGCAAAACGAAAAGAAAATTTTGACAAAATTTTTGCCCTTCATTTCAAAGCGCACAAACATAATATTTGAACAAAAATCGTCATACAAAACAAGATGTACTAATTTGTTGAAAGTTAAGAATAAGATTGTGGAAAAAAGTTGAGATATAATTGAGATATTGAGCAAAACGTTGAGGACTTTATAGTAATTAAAATACAGGACAACCAATAAAATGGTGGTGTGAAAACCCTAGTCTTTGTATATTAACATACCCTTGTCTTTATAGATGAACATCTCATATTTTATTGGTGAAGATCTTTTTCCTTGTCATTCTTTAAATATCTCAAATCACTCAGGTCATCATTATCCATATTTGAAGAAAATCAAGAAATTTATTTGAAAATCCGGCAATGGGTCGATCTCCATGCTGCGATAAGGTTGGTATTAAAAAAGGGCCATGGACACCAGAAGAAGATCAAAAACTCTTAGCTTATATTCAAGAACATGGCCATGGAAGCTGGCGCGCCTTGCCCTCCAAAGCTGGTATGTATACAGTATATATAATCGCGCACGCACATAATTTTCTACATGACTTGTTTTGGAATATTATGTTCAGGGCTTCACAGGTGTGGCAAAAGTTGCAGATTGAGATGGACTAACTATCTGAGACCTGATATTAAAAGAGGAAAATTCAGTTTACAAGAAGAACAAACCATCATTCAACTCCATGCCCTATTAGGAAACAGGTCATATTTTGCTCATTGCAGTAAACTATTCGTTTTTATGGTCATGTTACTGGTAGTACTGTGGGCCAATGATCACTGGACTCTTGTTCTTTTCTTGTATTTTGCTGTCATTTTATGTTTATATTGTCTTCTTTTAAGGTGGTCGGCTATAGCTTCGCACTTGCCTAAAAGAACTGATAATGAAATCAAGAATTACTGGAATACACATGTTAAAAAACGGTTGTCCATACTGGGGATTGATCCAGTGACTCACAAGCCAAAAAATGATTTCTCCATCATGTCTGATGATGGTGATCAGACGTCCAAGAATGCAGCTAACCTTACGCATATGGCTCAGTGGGAGAGTGCCCGCCTAGAAGCTGAAGCAAGATTGGCTAGACAATCAAAATTACATTCGAATTCTTTCAAGGTTAATCAGATCAATTCACCAGTACAAATCACCTCCGGTGGTAAGAGTGGTGGTGGTGCTTTAATGGCTGTGCTTGGTAGTGACATGGAACCTACGCCGTCTACGTTTAGCTATTCTGATAATGCACCACCAATTTCTGCCGGAGAAAACTCCACTACGTTTGTGGAGAGGTTCACGGAACGTTTGGTTGGTAGTTCTGGGAACAGGAGTTTATCCAACGGTGGTGAAATGCCTGATGTTGGTAGTGATGGTGGTGGTGGCGGCGGCGGCGGTGGCAATGATTATTGTGAAGATAACATGAATTATTGGAAAAGCATTCTCAGTGCAGACTACGGTGGATTATGATTGACTGAAGATTTGTCTATAAATAATCCCTTTGTTAATTAATGTGGATGAAGCTTCAATGGAAGACAATATTCAATATTAGTCTCATTTTGTGGATTATCATAGTTAATTTTTGTGTAGCGTTATGAGTTCTAAACATTCCATCCTTGTTAGTTAAAAAAGTTAATGAAAATCTAAATCGAAGTTAATAATTAATTTTAATTACATATTTCATAGGACTCACAACTTTCATCGACAGTTTAACCACATATTTCATTATATTTTATCAAAATCTACTAAAAATCTAATTTTTAGCCAAATTAAATAGGGACTTAATAATAGTTTCTGCGATGAATAAGAAGTGAATCCTTTTTACATATTGTGTAACTGTGAAAATAAGGTTTCTATGAAAGTTGAACCCCTTATGGCTATCACAATATAAAACATTGAATTTCTATATATGATGGCTTAAAATCGCTATGAAAGATTTCTCTCGACTATGGTCAAGGAAAAGGTGTCGATAAATTTTCAAGTATGCCACATTTGAAGCATTGCTTATTAGCTAGTGCAATTTTCTCTTTTGTACAAATAATCTTGCTTGGAGAAATCCTTACAAGATTTAGTTGAAAGATTGAATTTGCATTAAATGAATCATTTGTGAAGCCAGGCTGTGTGAAGAGTTGGCTGTCGTGTAACATCAACAACATTGTATTTATCAAAGAGGCAATATTGTTCTGCTAAAGTCGGTGCACATGGGCCAATTAATTACTTTGGTGATTAAATAGATCATACGGCTGTCAATGTTTTTCTCAATTTGTTGGTGTCTGTGACCAACTTGAAAATACATGACATGTGACATATAATTTTTTTTGATCTGTGACCTATAAAATTTTAGATTTGTGATTTAAAATTTTTTTGATCTGTGACCGATAAAATTTTATATCTGTGATCTGAAAAAATCTGTGACTTACAAATTTTTTGACTTATGACCGAAGAACAGTCGTCGGAGCAGAGGTGGAATGGGGTGGGGGTTGGTTAATTATATTATATTACAGTTAAATATTTAATTTAATTTAATAATTGTAAAATATAATTAATTAATTAATGAAAAATCTGATTTTTGCAATTCCAAACCCTAGAGCCTAAATTTTAATTTTGGGATAGATAAAGTCTAAGTTGTGAATTTTTTCCTTCAACATTAATAAGGTGCAAAAGAAAAATTATTGGGCTCACAATGGGCTTTATTATCACATTTTTTGTTGGATTATAAACTTCATTACCCCAGAAATTTTTTGAGTTCAGTGCAAGTGCTAAATTAGCATTGTGTGCTTGATGATCACGTTTGATAGTACTTAGTCTCATTGATTCTAATATAAGTGGCAGTACGTAGCATGTCCTATTAACCCCCTATTTGATGGGGATTAAAATTAATTTTTAGCGAATGCCTTGTTCAGCTCCCAATGCCAAAGCCAAATTCAGATCCATCAATGGATGGCTGGGTACCCGTCTCTTCTTCAGACGTGCCTTCAACTTTATCATATTACTGACTTCAGTATATTCGAAGAATTTAAGGATAGTATAAGAATATTCTTTGAAGAATTTAAGGATAGTATAAGAATATTCTATGTAATTTCGAGGCTTCTTCCTAGCTGAAACTAATTTTGACCGATTCATTAGCTTAATGCACGCGGAAGTATTTGTACGTTGTTGTACTAAGTACCAAGTAAAATACAAAACCAGGAAATTTTAAATTCAGCTTAGTCGAAATAAATTCTATTTATCCTTTCTGATCCCTGGAGAATATTCTTTTGTAATTTCGAGGTTTTTGTTTGTTTCTAACCCCTCTGCAATTTATTAGCGTTTGTTCCTATTCAGAATTTCACTATAAAAACATGATGAAACATTAATTTCTCCAGACAACAATAATTGCAATAAATCAGCGCAAGACAATTGTAGTAAAAGGATGAAATTCGGAAAAGAATTTAGGATATATTTAGAAGAAATTCTACCCGAATGGAGGGACAAGTATTTGTGCTACAAGCTCCTAAAGAAGCTCCTCAAGACCATACCGGCCGGCGATTCTGCCTTGAATCCTCCGCCGACGGACGGCAATGATACGGCACCGATCCTGTCGTTGCAGACGCTTCAGGATTGGTTCGTTGGGATTCTCAATGACGAACTCGAAAAGTTCAACGATTTCTACGTCGATAAAGAGGAAGATGTCATCATTCGCTTCCAGGTTCTTTGCATGTTTGTAATTCATTTTGGATTGTGCAAATTCATTGTTTTATGTTTTAATTTCATAAAAGCTTGATGAATTATTCATGTGTTATCGATTCTACAAGGTTATCTTGAAAACTCGTGATTATCTAGGACACATTTGATTATTTTTATTTGTCCATTGTTCTGTATTCATAATTAAGCTCTTGAAAGAGATAGTTTCAACTTCGGAGGATTTTGAGAAGGAATTTAAATTTTGTGTGTTTTTTAAGCTGGGAGTATGTATGTATAGCATAGTTTTTATCTTTTTTTGTGTTGTTATAATCCAAGAAGACTAGTTTTTGTTCTTTCGCTTCAAGAAAAGGGCAGAATTTGTGCTTGTGGGTGGGGTGGGGGGGATTGAACAAGAAGAATTTACTGATTCTGAACGGTAACAGCTCACTTGTTCTCCTCTGTATCGACGCAGAAGCTGCCTTGTGAAAAGAATGGAGAAATTGTACCGGAAAATTTAGTTCTAATTGGAGTACAAAGACAATAGATCATGAGCTAATGCAGGACAAGGGAAGACAACTGCATCTGGAAGCTAAGTAGAGTTTAAAGTAATTGGAGATGAGGACCGAGGACAATTCATAAGGAGGCAAATTGTTTTAAAATCTGATGTTGCTAGAATGGTTGTGGAAAAAAGTGAATGTGAAATAACATTTTAGTGATCATCAATCTTTATGATATCGATGGTTGAAAAGAATATTCGTGGGGTAGAATTGTAGCTTTAAGGCATGAATAACTTTAATTAAGATTGAACATCTTTTCTAAGCCATCAAGATCAATAGAACCTGTGTTTTTCCAAAAAACCTGCTTTTTGAGATGAAGCATTGTACTTCTATGCACTCAGATTTATCCGTCTCCAAATATTTGGCATCGATTTAATTCTGTAAAATCTCAACTGTGGAATTACTTTTTTGCTCTGCGTTATTCTACTGAATCTTCGATGTGGCACTACATTCATCATCAGCTACTGTTGTTGCAGGCGCTAAAGGAAAGAATTGATTTAGTGAAGGAGAGGGGCGGCGAAGATGGAGTGTTTACCTCGGAGACTGAATTCAGTGAAGAGATAATGGAAATCCGTAAGGACTTCGTCGCCATTCATGGGGAAATGGTTCTGCTAAAAAACTATAGCTCTCTTAATTTGGCAGGTATAATATCTTCTTATTTCTAATGCTGGTTTTTAATGGGCTTTATAATACTTCTCTTGGGGATTTTGGTCTTCAAGATAGTTTCTTGAATTTAAAAGGCCTGGCTTTTTATGTGTTTAATAAAATGTTTCTGCACATATCTTTAGGTCTGATTAAGATTCTGAAGAAATATGATAAAAGAACAGGGGGATTGTTGTGCCTACCTTTTATACAGCTTGCCCTTCGTCAGCCGTTCTATACAATCGAACCTCTCACGAGATTAGTTATTGAGTGCGAGGCAAATATCGAACTCCTCTTCCCACTTGAAGCAGAAGTCGTTGAATCTACTGCTGTTGAACAGGCCAAGACAGGCGCAGAGCCTGCTAACGATGCTTCAAGTATTTCAGAGACAGCCCCGTTCCCTGAGGAGGAAGCTGTGGGTATAAGCCGAAGCATCGATGCTGCATTGAGAGCTGTAGAGGCCCTTAGAAAGGCGAGCTCTACAAACAATCCCTTATCCTTTTCGTCTCTCTATGGAAGTTGGGATAATGACGGTACGGGTGCGGTAACAGCAGAAAATTCGCCATGTGAACCTTTAGATACTTTGGACAATGAGGAGGATGCAAATGAAGATGTTACCAATTCCCCCAAATAAAGATTGTGTATTTGTTTGTGTACTGATGTTTTGGAATAATTTGTTAATGGCTTGGAAAGATTGAACAATACTACTCTTTGTATCTGTTAAGGTGTGTAATAAGTTGTTTGTGAAATGTAACACGCAACATTGATGTGTGATTGCATATTTCTTGGATATGAAACTTTTGTCCTCGTTTTCATTGAAAAATTTTCAATTGTAAGGTGTTATACAAAGATCGAACTTAAAATTACAGATCGAACAATCTTGGCAAATTCTAATGCATCAAACTACTCATAATAACCATTGAACATCAAGGTATCAATGATCGAAGGCTTGGAACACTATCACCGAAGGAATCAACACAAAACAAGCCCAGATCTCCTCAACCCCTCACGATTCACAAGCCAAATAGTGTAGCTTCTTCTATGGACCAGAAAAGCTAAATGATACCCGCAATCATCACAATATGCTTTCACCAGATTCACAAAGAAACACAATTCCAAAAACTAATTTGTGGATTCCTTACAGAAGAAGAAGATGAAAGAACAGAGAGAAAGTCGAAGACTCTAGAAACCCTCAAGAACTGAAAAGGTACGAATGAATGAATAAACCAAGTGAACACTCCAATAATATCTAAGCCTCAAGATTGGGCATCCATTCATCCAACGGCCAGAGAAGCATACACTTAAGGTTGGACCGATTTTTGGGCTGAGGAAGGGACTGGGCCTGGTTTTCAGTTAACAATGGGTAATAAGTAATTAGGTCGAAAGGCCATATCATCATCGCCTAGTGGGCTGGACACTAGTACCACAGCCCACATAAGGATTTGTCAAATGTCACCAACAAAAGACGGATCAAAGTAAAAATTCATTCTTTAAAATTGACTTGGCAATGATAAGGTGTGACTCCCACAAAATATTTATTTGCTCATTTCAAGGTACACCTACAAGATAATTGAACAAGAGTACTAAGACTCTGTTTGATTGCAACGAATTCCATGAAAAATGTCACATCTGAGGAAAACGAATTCCACTTTGGTTGCTTGATTGCAACGTGGAAATGGAAACTGAATTTCAAGGTACAATCATTTTAAACTGTATTTTCTTTGTTTTCATGAAAAACGAATTTTTATGGATTTGGTGAGTTTTTATTTTCCAATTAACATGGAATTGGAATTCTTTTCCACATTTACCTATCAAACAGACCATAATTGCCACCAATTTACGTTTCAAGACAATTTTACTACTGGTCCTCAAACTATTGGTTCAATAGCAAATTAGTCCTCAACCGTTTATCCATAAAAAATTCACGAGATTGCAACAGTCACATCTTTAGCCACTCAGAAGCGCCACGTCAGGAAGAAAAAGCGCCAAATGTAGAGATGTGGATGTCCTCGTCTTCACCTCATCTCTTCTATTTCCCTTTCCCTTTCGATTTCCCCTTTAATTTTGCTTTAATATGGCCGAAATTGCGGTGGTTCCGTCGTGTCGGGTGGTGCTGGGCGGCGGCTCGCATTTTAATGGGAGGCTGACTAACCTAAGTCCAAAATTGCAATGCCGGATGCTGAGACCACGGCCGATGCTAGTAAAAACCCAAATGACGAATGCTTCTACTTACACTTCCAGAATTTCTACTGATATTCCTCTTTATGAAATCGCTGGGGTAATAATATAAACCTCTTGTAGAGCTTCTCTTTCTCTCTAGAATTATGCATAATTTTACATTTATGAGGTTTATTTACTTTGAGTTTGGGTTTGCAGGCTTCATTTGATCAGTATTTAGATGATAAGCCAAGGGTATTTAGAGCCATTTTTCCTGATAAACGAAGGAGCCAACAACTTAATGAGGTACTCTTGCTTACAATTTATACTAATTTCGTCTGTATTCATCAGAATTTTGCAAAAGATCTTGATTTTGTGGTCGTGGGTGTTGGGCATTTTGGAATTTATTGTTATACATAATTTTCGTTGAATTAATTTCCCAATGTTAATCGATTTCTGAAAAGATTATTCATCACCTCATTTATAATTCATGCATCATTTACTTTAGAGTTTTATTATTATTATTATTATTATTATTATTTTTTTTTTGTAAAGGTTGTACAATTACAACATAAATAGTGTGTATTAAAAGAGTGGAATCGAATCTGATAAAATGACTCAAATTCTTGGACTTAGTTTTAACGTTCGGTGGGAAAAATCAAGAAGCTTTGCATTGGAGAGAACATGAGAGGGTCACTGCTATTGGGCATTAAGACCTGTCCCTCTACAATTAATGAAGAGAAAATCGCAAACTAAGACGAATCAACATAGAAAACCGAAGGTAAAATACATTGAAGGGCATAAAAGCCAATGGAATTAACAGAGAAAAGATAATCTCAGCAATGTAATAATTCAAGATAATGCCATGAGAGTATAACATTTAAACGGCCAGAAGTTGTTTGATGATCCAAGTTTGTTCCAAGACCACGTTGTGAAAGCATTAACAAGTAGACCGAAGTCATTTGACAATCCAAGACCGCAACATGAGGAGAATGCTACCAAGAAAACATAAGTTTGATTATTCAAGATCATGTCAAGTTGGAGTAAACACAAACATTCAAGCAAAGTACATTTAATTGTACCTCCAACACCAAGTGGGCTAAGTGAAGAGTAATATAATGTCTGTATTTGCTTGCTTTCAATTTTGTCACAAGTTGACTGAGTTGGAGGATCTCACTCTAATTAGTTTATTAGTGTGCGTCTTTCTCTGTCTCTACTCGTACTTTATTGGTAACGAACAAATGCGCGCGTGATTTTAGCCTTTACATGATGCTTGCCTGTTATTTTGTGTGCAGGAAGAGTGGAGAATACATATGCTACCTATAAAATTTCTATTCCTCACTGTATATCCTGTAATTGACATGAGGTTGAAATGTAAATCAAATGGGACAGGATACCCACCTGAGGTACCCTGCCATATCTCAAAGCTTCTTGAGCTTGACATTGTAAGCATGTGGCAAATGAATCTCTTTAAATTTTTCGTTTACTGGAAGTTTTGTGCTTATAACCTTTAAGATACCAATCACAAGCTGTCATTTTGCAGATTAGATGGGAACTTCAGGGGCTAGACGAAATGCTTGAGCCGTCTCAGTTTTCCCTTGGTGTAAAAGGGGCCCTATATCCTGATAGAAGTGGACTGCGTAGTAGGCTCAAAGGTCAACTACAGATGAGCATAAGCTTTGTTCTACCCCCTATGCTTGCTTTGGTCCCTGAAAATGTTCGACGGGATGTCTCAGAATCAGTTATCTTATCTTCCCCCATTTATTTCTTAGTGCGCTCCACACCCTGCCAGCCCTAATGACTTAATAGTGTGCTTTGTGTATAGGTCCTAAGGGGATTGGTGGAGAACATGAAGAATAAAGTGAATTGCAGCTTGATTTCCGACTATAGCGAATTCAAGAGGGAAAGACCAAAGACTTTAACATAAGATCGGATTTGATCTGATAACAAATTCAGACAACATGGTTGTTGGTAGATTATTTGCTCAAAATGGGAAGCCTGAAAATTGAAGAAACCTATTTGAGGCTTCAGGAAAGCTGGTTTATTCGTTGAGGCTCAGCAAACACCATTTTTACATATTGATTGTACTTAGTTTTCCCCTTGAGTGCAGTTTTTCAGGTTTTAGAGTGTAATATGCAGAGGATGCTTGCGTATTACAGGATAATCGCGTTAATGTCAGACTGAGAATTGTTGATATCATACTCTTTTTCCTTTGTTCTGAATGTAATTTCGCAAGTAAAGGCGTTCATAATTTATGTTTGGCAAATTTGAGTTTTCATCACGAGTAATAATATACTAATATCATAAACTCAGCAAAAATCAAGTGGGAAAACTATAAAAAGTATAAATAATGTGGAGATGCGGGGGATCGAACCCCGTGCCTCTCGCATGCAAAGCGAGCGCTCTACCATTTGAGCTACATCCCCGAGTTGTTGAATTTTTATCACAAATTTTATATATGTAATTATCAAAGTAGTGACATCAAAACAACTATTACCGCGTCTTAATTCAAGATTACTTACCATAACCTTAAATATATCCACTAATTATGCTTATAGTAGAGAGGGAATGAATTCAATTTCATAGATGTTCACTAATTTAAGTCAAACCACCGCAAAAGGTTTGTAGCCCCTTAATTTCATCCTTCTAACCAAACAAGGGATCAACATAAAAGACGTAATAAATAATTCAAATAAAACTAATTTCAATTTCTCTGTTGTTTGGTGAATTCAAGATTCAACCGCACGATTTAGACGTGATGCAACCACCAGAATGTATTGGCATGTTCTTGACACTCGAGTATATAAAATTGAAATATAACCGTTCAAACTTAGGCTACATACAATTGGAAATGCTAACCACACGTCGTAGAGTTTCAAGGACACGAGTACATTTTCTAGATTCGACTTGTACATATTCAAAAAACCCATGTCCAAGATTTTACAAGGCAATCATATATTACATTAAGTCACTATTTGATGGACTTTAAATTAAAATTATTTATTTCTCATACTCATTATCAATTGTACATTCACACAAGAAATCATTCTACACGTCAATTCAAAAATTTTCAAACCACATATTCTTTAAAATGTCACCATTCAAAGTATCATTTTCCCCCATTTTGTCTTTATAATAACCATCAACCAAGGGCTTAATATATGACCATGAAGATCACAAATATGATTACAGCTCCTGTACATCATACAGAACAACGTCCTCGAAACTCACAGAAAGTAAGATATGGAAATGAGTAAACAAGAAGCTCTTGTACTTCGCTACATCTCAAAACAGACCTGTTTAAAATATAATATCACAATAATACCAATGACTAGAACTGTAATTACAACACCAATAATCCACTTGTTTCTGTTCATCCTCCTTGACATGGAAGTTATAATTCTCTTTCTCCTGCTTACGTTGTCGTCCACACCATGCATCCGAAATAGGTAAAGATTAACCGTAAAAACTCTTAATAATTCCAGCTAAAATAGATAGCAAATAAAGATCTCAGATATAATGAGCGACTAAAAGTACGAAGCTTCTGAAATGTCTGCTTGGGGACTGGGGATTCCAAACTTTAAAGACACATTACGCTACCACTTCTTTAGCCCCGTTTCACAAAGCTTTTTGAGATTGTAAGCTGATGGATCCCATGAAATGTGTGGTTAAAAAGTGGACAAGGTTGTGGGTCCAATGAAATCTGTGGTCAAATTTGTAATCTAAAAAATCTTTGTCAAACAGGGGCTTTAGACGAAAGACTACAGAAAACTGCGAAGGAATCATTAAAAGAACAACATGGTGACAAAGTAATACCATGTTATTTGCATGTGAGAGAGACTGTTGCTGTTGGTGCAAATCTTGAAGAAGTGAGACTCCAAGATCCTCTGTCTCCAGCATGACCTTTCTACTTTCTTGAATCCTATCACACAACCTGTTCAATCTGTCTCTTTGATTAGGCGATACCTATTAAATCATCAGTGCCTCAAAATAAGTTCAATAAGTCAAACCAAGAAGGTATAGCTTGTTCCTTTTAAAACATGTTATTATCTACTTGGAACATTTATTTATGTTGCACGGGGAAGGTTGGTCAGAAATTGATAATTAGACCACAAAACTATTGGTCGCAAAAGTTGTACTGGAAGACAAATATTTTATGTGGGCAGCTAAGCAAGAAGATTTTCAGAATCATATGAAAAAATTGTGCAGTATGCCTAAAGGAGGAAAAGCTGAATTGAATGCTCCCAACACTTGAGATAAACATCAACCAACAAGCATTCACAAATCTTAATAATAAATATTTCCCTCCAATCAACATAGAAAAAGTGAAAGGAAAAAAAATAAATAAATAAAAATGAAACTCAGAAGACCTTAATATATAGCAAAACAAAGTGATGTACCATAATAGGATATACATACTGTTAATGTATCAGCCATCCCTGCCTCCAGCAACTCATCACAGACAGCCTGGTTTAGGCTTGCTGATGCAATTCGCTTAATATCACTTTTTAAATTTTTAAGATCAGATTTATATTCTCTTAGTTTAGCAAGCGGCACGGCTTTAACATTTGGCTGCTAGCCACCGGCCTCAAGGTCCATTTTCCGAATCTGTCAAATTATCAGCTAATGTCAAAAAGAACTCCGAGAAACAGAAATAAGAGACAAAAATATCAATAATGTCTCGATGCTCACCAGAGCTTCTGCATCATCTTCAGAGATTTTTTGCTGCTTCTGCTCTGCAAAGATCAGGTACTTTTATGTCTAATAATCAATTTCCACGATATTGTAAGAACTAGAGAAAAGAATTCCAAAGAATACCATCAAACGCTTCAGAACCACAAGAAACAACACACACCACAATACCCATCAATATATTTTGCAGTCTAACTAAGAGTTGCTTTGCACAAATGCATATATGAAAGCGTAAATTTACATGCAAAAATCCAAACGTATCAAGTCCCCTGCCTTCCCCCTTCCAAATAAACATACGGTCCATAACGAGGTAGAGAAATTATATTCCGAAGGGATCAGGGAGGAAGGGAGAGAAAGAGCGATGATCTAAAATAGCCCAAAATAGACATTATAAGAAACTTTTTTTATTCTCAAATTTCCTTCTCTGAGCATATATATCTCTCTCTCATTCTTGCTATCTGCACTTTTTGAAAACCTTAGCAAGTAATCAGAGTTAGTACATTGACAAATAAACTCTTTAACTATAAGCATATAGCATTAATGACAGTTCATATATCCAAGACAAAAAAGAGAAGAAAAGCTCAAAGATTTTGCGTAGAACATCGAAAAGAAAGCGGAATTCTTTCATAGTGCACCATGCCAAATCTCACACACAAAGTATGGAATTTTTTGCTTCTAGTATATTTCTGAAGTAGAATCCTAATTCAGATGAACCAGGTGATGAGATATTAAGAAGATATCCAAATTGATCCATTACATAGTCAGTAAACACTCAAAATCTGCAAGTTACAACCTAAAATTCCAAGCATAACCAATGCATAATAAATAAAACAAAATGGCTACGATGATAAATAAAATAACGTCCGTCAAGTAGACTGGCCGACGTCAACTTCTTCGATAGATTCGCAGAAATCTCGCAATATTGGCGTTCGTGCCTTTCAAATATCTCGCTCATCGAGATTCTGTCAGTTTATTCTAATAAAATTGAAAGTAACAAAATAATTAAACTCCGATCGAATGCCAATTGAATAAATAATAGTAATATCACAAGATAACAAGAAATTCAGTATCTCTAATTTTAACAATCAAAAGTACTCAAATTGTAAGTGTAAAAATACCTAGACCGGTTTCTGAATTGGGAATGTAGCTTGCGAGGCTTTCGATACCCAAAACGACGTCTCGTGTTCAATACTGTTTATTTAAATGAAAACGCCATTTGGTTTGCGCGATTTTTGTACCTTACTCAAAACACAATTACTTTTAGCTCATGTTTGATGATTATTATTGTGTACAAATGATGTTTTGAGTAACATTTTTTTTTAAAAGTGAGAAAATTTTTGAATTTACACGTAAAATATTTTATTGTGTAAATTTGTAATTGAAAATAAATATGAGAAATAAATTAATTTATTTTAAAGGGAGTTAAACAGACTTAGTCATTTTCGTCAACTTGTCTAACGGTGTTTAACTACACTTTTTTCTTTTTCTGAACAAAGGCACTTTTTTATGTGATTATTATTGTTTTTTGACCATGTCAGCTTCTAAGGTACATATAAGATCGCCGTATGTGATTGACAGTCGTGTCATCATATTTCGTTAATCAAATCGACGAAGATGAGGTGAGGTGAGGTGAGGTAATTTCAGTTGAACAAAATTAAAATTAAATTAAAATATAGTTAGCTGCAACGGAATTTATTTATGATTAAAACCTGATGAGTTGTAAGAAAAACAGGACATCTAACTCAAGATCATCGGACAAAACAAGTCCAAGGAATAGAAAAATGAAAACTAACGTTCATTCAACATCGTTTGCTATGACGACGAGAAAAAAGTGGCATAATAAACCAAACAGAGCTTGAAGTACATTCCATTGTCTATGTCCCATCTTTCTATATTTACTGTTGACTCCAAAAATGTGTCAACAAATGTCGGGTCCACCCACACCAAGTCAAGCACTATTCCGACGCATTCCTATCGGAGTAAAGGCGATAGTAAGGAGGAAATGAACGCGGGGGGTACTTTGAGACGAGAGACAAAAATGTTCAAATTCCAACGGGTGAAATAAAGGTGATTGCGCTAACAACAATCACCAGACGAAAACTAAACTAATCCATGTAGTAACAAATAGGAATATGTGGAAGGATAGATGAAATGCGTATATAAGTTACTGTCTTATATGTTGAGATTTGTAGCTCATAAACATGCAAAGAAGATAGAAAATAAGCCAAGTGTTTG